TGGTTCAACTTGACAAAGAAATCAATATTTCCTTATTCAATTTATTTACTTTCCTATTATTTTCTTGCTCAATTTATTCATTCGCAAAATGCAATGAAACTATCGATTAGTTATGTGAGTGATAATCCCAATAAATATGGAAAATCTCGAATCACCTGGAATAACGTTCGTGTTTATGAAAATATATTGATGAGATTGATGTTCAATTATCTTCTATTATTCTTTAAAGAATAAAGTATTTGATATAATTAAAGGATAATATATGAGTTTTCACTAATAGAATGCTTATTTTACTGCAATAGCGATGATCTATTTGCAATGAGTTCTAGTCTTCACTGTCGGGAAGTATTGAAAGGTTCTTCTGAAAAAGAAAATACGGAAATATGAGACTGCATGACGAAGAGAATTTCAAATTAGGATATTATATAAAAACAAGCATAGATGGTTAACGAACACGAGATATCGGTTGAACTTTAGTAAAAGATATTAAAGTATTCATGCCTATCGTGTTCGTAACTTTGGATATCCATTCTGGAACTGCTTGTTTCACATTGTCACGAAATCGTTTGACAAAAACTAAATTAACGGTAGGCAACACAGCACTATTGAAAATAACATAGCAGTTGACGAAAATATGAACCGGAATTTCTATTTTTTTGCCAGCTATCTTAACTGCGATTTGCGGCAAAAAGTAGAAGCAGAATACTTGAATCTCTATTGCACTACAAATCGCTGCTCCTTGCATTACCATCAAAAACTCATATTTACCAGTTTGTCGCTTAATTCTGGCTTGATAACTTGTACATATTTCTGAAATGGCTAAATTTAAATTTGATTGTTTCATTTGAGAATCGAGTAAGTAAAAAAGTGGGAAAAAAAAAGCTATAAACGATTTGATGAATTTCAAAAATTTCTTGCAAATGTTTTAAAACGATTTACAAAAAAAATATTTGTCAAAAATAAAGAATATTGTGTGTTAGTTTTTTGATTAAATGAAACAAATGTGATGTAATGTACCGTTTCTTTTTTGATCGGAAATATTTCGCCGCTTGCGACGCATATTGTAAAATATTGAAACATACATTGCAAACATAATTATGGGTAAAGTCAACGTCCATACATAACGAATGCTGGATAGAAATAAGCGAATAAGAACAAATAAAGATGCCAACTTATTGATATTAGGGTAAAGTAGGTAAAATAATGCTGTCGAAAATTTTCCTCATGGAATTTAGAAACGTTTCGAAAATTTGTGCAAGAATTGATTGTTATGCTCCGTAACACATAAATTGAACCTCAGTTAATGTTTTACTCTTTTTGGAAAGTTTAAATCCGAGATTTCAAAAAATTACTTCAAAAGAATCCTGCCAACTTTAGGTGATTTTCCCGTGCAATTCATTGACCACTCCAAATTTGAAACGACGAAAGTCTTGTCACAATAAAGAAATTCTGTGAGCGATGGCACTAAAAAGTTTAATATGGCATGTTGCATGCTAAAAACAATTGAGGATCAATTTACTGATGAAGATTACGATGATAAGAAGAATGAAGTTTTGATAGTTTGAAGCAAATTGGCTACTTCTTAACGGTAATTATGGCTAATCACGGAATAACCCATTGGAGTAAGCTATGCTGAGTGATAATACGTCTAAAGAAACTCATGAAAGCGCAATAATTATTATATTATTTGAGGGAATCAACGGATCATACCGAAAACTGATAACCACACGAAAGCGATGAGGAAATAGAACCTCACTGTTTCGAAAAAAACATTGAATCTCGGTAAATTCATGGCCACAAAGCGATTCACTGTTAATAGAAATGCAAAATGTAAGGTTCCAATGAAGGAAAATGAGTCCATAGTTGCGAATATATTGTAAATCCATGTTTTGTTACGTGCTAAATGTGAACAAATCAATTAATTTAATAGAAGAGATAGGAGTAATCATTAATGATTGAGTGCATCGTCTCTACAAGAATCATAATTTAAAAAAAAAAAAACGTAACAGTGCGAGCTGTTTTTGATCTTTAACAATTCAACTAGGACAATGATCACTTGTGGGATAAAACTCACGAAGCTGCAAATAATAAATTGGAATGTAATGAAGTTGAATGAGCCACTGTTAACATTGTCTTCTCTGCGACATAATATGATCAACATTAATATGTTGCTAACAATAGCGTGTAGCAAGAACAAGACAAAAAACACAACTGCTGTATATTTTAATATCATATCATATTCATCTTTAATATCGAACACATACGTCGTATTTTCCTCATGGCAGTTTAGTGATATTATTAGGAATAGCGCAATAATACAGTAATAACGAGCCAGCATAATATCAGTAAACAATTTCTACTTTAAGTTTTCCCGTTGTTATGAATTTGTGTTCTTCTAAACAGTAATTTTATCAGTCGAATTTCATCGGTTGAAATGTAAATGCTTTGACATACCAAAAAATTCGAATTCTAAATTAGTAAATGGAATTATTGAACGGAATACTTGATGTAATAACATATGATGACGATTAAAAATTCAGCTGTTAAATCAATTTCTTATTTTTATGCTAATTCTAAAAACTATTGATTATAATGTCTGGATCATAATATTAATGTTATATTTGCTATTCACATCTCATAGACTTTTGGGAAGGAACTACTACTTTTAATGTATAGGGAATTATTTGTCGGGAAAATGGAAAGACCAGTTCTAATGCTTAAATATCGAATTGCAAAGATAAATAAAATTCAGTAGCTCAAGATTTCATTTCGGAGATTGAACGAAATGAATCTTTATGTCCCTAAAAATGTTAAGAAATCAAAAAAAAAAATCGATTTCAGAAAATAAGCGTATGATAACTCGTAGAAAACAGAAGAAAATAAAAAGTTAATATATTTAGGCATTCCACGTGAAAACAACTCAGTTGCAACATTCATATTGTTATTGAAGGTAATGAATACACAATGCGTAAAACTCATTACCAAAAATTTGTTTTCTGGCAAACATACAATAGCACAATACTAATTGTCGAAATTCGACTTCCATATTTTATGCTATGGGATTTAAACTGGAGAATTAACTGTGATCACATACTGATTGGGATATTTTTATGAAATGAAAAGAATGGATGAGAGAAAAAGCAGGATAGATGTTTGACTGGATTGAATTTAAAGCAAAAAAAGCGATCAGTAAATTTTTTAGCAACAAACATAATTATTATCTCAAATGAGAACATCAGGATATCTAATGTTGAAGGAAAGACATACTGCAAAAAGACCAAATTATGCATCCAAGATACCATGACAATGAATATTCTTCCAGTAATTTCAACGATAACTATATTTGTTTATTTATATATGCATCAATCAAGAAATCCATAAGCCGAAAAACGGAATACCTGATCCAGAATATAGAATATCTCCTTATGCTAGAATATCGTAAGTCGGAAATGATGACATATACAGGTGTCACCTGAAAGGAGTTTACATAGCAGTCAAATGAAGACGTTTAATCCATTCGTTTATTTGGATACCAATAATTTATAAACTTAATCTCCATTGAAATTTTGATGCGTTTAATTTTACAGCTATTATAACGCAACAAAATATTTCAAAATAATTACCACAATAATATTAAACGAATAAAACTAATCACTAATTTGATTTATTTATTTTGCTACTCATTAAATTTCATCGAATAACTCGCATAATTAGAGCTATTAAAATGTAAACATAATACTTCCCAATGAACAGCGAACGTTGACTATTGTCTGTCCCTGCCTGTGTATGTGTGTGTGTGTGTGTGTGAGCGTGTGTTGTCTTTGTTAAGCCGAGTGGACACAGTCATATAAATTACCGTAATCCAAAAACAAGAGAACCCATTCGCCATATATATTCAGGTAAGCTGAAAGTAGGTGGTGTGCTTCTGTATAATATTTTGATGATAACGATCCTCCAAGTAAAATGGCTGATAATTAGAAATATTCTTACCTGTCTTTTAACTGGAATGGCAATGATGTGTCGATTTAGTGTTTGTCTACTTTCTTGAAAATGTGCAAATAAGTACATTTCTTGATTTAAATGAATCATACAAATCCTATTTTAAAATTGGACACTGCTATCAATCAGCTGGAGATAAATAGAACAAATTTATGACGATGTCAAGATGACGACACTAAGAAATAGTAGTAATAATGTATCTTAAATGTGTCATAGCACTTTCCGGTTGATGGCTAAGCGGAGAAGCAGAGATGAAATGCCTACAACTGTTAAACGACACCTAGCGGATTTGTCTCATAACAGGTTTATATGATGTTATCTAATAAACTTTGATATATTTTCTACACCCAACTCCAAATTCATTGGAAAATGGAAAAAGTGGAAAAGTAAACTGTGGGAATCTAAATAAGCAAACTGAAACCAATGAGTAAGATGAGAGTAAGTCATGAATAAAAGTGGAAGTGTATTGTCAATATTACGACATTATAGATAGATAGCAATAACAATAAAACGATGTGTGAAGGGATAATGTTGGAGGACACTTCTCACTGCTCATATCAAATTAGAGTAGAAGTTAAAGATTAACATGTGACATCTACGAATGACAATAACTGCAAAACAACAGTTTAAATAAGTCTAAACAAACATAACTGACAACGTGAAAAGATGAGGGAAAAACGCAACACAATTTCTATGTGATGGAAAATATTGAAGATATATTCAAGAAAAGAAAAGCTGCTGTACTATAGAATGGATGAGAAGCAAGGCCTTTAACTAAGGTGACGTTTATTAGATGAAATGTGTAATATGTGTGTAATCCCTTCGCAAATTTAAAAGCCATCATTCCTTGAAAAAAAAAACACTTTAAAAGCTAATTGTTCAATTCAATTTGATCAGTCCTATCAGGATTAGTATCACACACAATGAAATATATTGGTTCCCTCAAAGGGACTCAAGAAACCCTTGTGACACTTTTCCACTCAATCTATAAATTGGTTAGTAGATCAGCTTTTGAAGATTTTTGATGTCGCTGTCTGAATTAAACATTGGAAACACAGGAACTCCTTTTTTCTTTTCAAGAGAAACCGGAAAAGATCATAAAGTTTCTGTTAACTAAATTAAAGGGCCGCGATACTTTATTGGAGTAAGTTTTTTTCATTTTCAAAAGTACTGAATGAAAACAAGTATCAAATAGCATTTTAATATTAATATGCGCATTCATGAAGATTAGAAGTTTTCCTAACTAAACGGATGAGATTAAATCAAAGGTACACATATATAGCTATGGTAATTGAAAAAAGTGCCATTAGACTTGATGCAAGCATTATGGATTGGAAATATACAAATAGAGGAATCCATTATTCAGAAGCTATCTTTTGCATAGAAGGAATGATACAATGTAGAATGGATGACATGAATGAACAGTAACTATCAGCTTTTAGTTCTTTCTTGTCATCTGCATTGATTTCTGCAAAATTCAAAATGTATGGAAAGATTGCCTAAAGTTCTACAGCTGCTGTTCTCCATATTACCAAAATATACTAAATGTGAAAGATGAAGTCCAGTTGATTTAACGAAGATGAACTCCGGGTGATTTAACGTTTACCTTTAATAATTAACGTGTTGCTAATTAATTCGCAGCATTGACTGCAAGCAATCATATGGATTGGATGAAAACTGGTTAAGAATTATTCTCCTAACAGGAAACAACCCAATGGATTATAATTCAATGGATTTCAATTTTATAAAAATTTCAAAACCATGTCCAAAATTGTCACTTTTCTTTTCAGTGTTTCTCTCCACACATATATTTTTCATTTTTCTGCTTACTTTATAATTACAATGATTCATATTTGCTGCTACAGCAAGCGGTGCAGCAGGGGGACTCGTCAAGGATATCGTTAAAGTCAAAAGAAATTCAATGATACACGAAGTGCTTCAACTAGGAAACAAGCAGCATAAAACGTCCGAGACATTTCATTTACAAAATGAGCAAGGAAGATTAGGGATTCCTTCGTAACATTTGCAAGTATGATAGCATAGATCAAAGCGATGCACTACAAGTACTTTCGACTGAGATTTATCGATTGGATCTCGTAATAGCAACGCCGGTACTACTCTGTGAATTATCGATTATACAGCAATGATTTCGAAAGTCTTTAAATTCGACATTTAACAACAGGCAGAAATTAATTTGGTAACTGTTCAGGCAACGCCAATGATAATAGTATTAAATTTTAATATAATTAATATGACAATGATGACGATAACGATCATCAAGATTATATATCAATGCAAAAAAAAAACTAAACATGATCAAAAATGTAAGGATCATTCCCTAGTCAGATGTGCATTAATTTCAATACAAGTCGAATCATTGACCATAAATGATATCATATGAAAATGTCATATAGAGAAATGTGATATTGTTCTCAAATAAAAAAATTGCTGTAAATTTGTCAATCAAAAATAAAAAGAAATACTATTCAATTCACATAATATACATCCTACGGTAAAACAGTTTTTGTTTGCTTCCCAATTACAATGGCAGATGAAAATATTTTAATCATTTGCTTGCACTTTCTTACTGGTCTGTAGGAGTGAAACCTTCTGTTGTTCTTTTGTTTTCGATAATTATTAACTGATGTTTAAATAAAATTTAATAATAAAATTTTCAAATAAAATTCAACGAATTTTAAAAAGTTTCTAAACTTCTGTAAACTTCCCTATCCTACTGATAACGCAACAAAAAAAATACTGACATTAATTAATTACTACGATCATTGCTGATAGAAGCTCATAGAAATTGCATAATAATAACTAATTATCTTATTTTTCCAATAAGCTAATCTCTAATCTTCATCACAATTAAGCATGGTATAGAAATGTTTTGGAACAGAATGCTTTGAGCAATTAACGATTGCTGAAGTTAGAGGTAAATTGAAACATTCAAGAGTGATTTCCATTCTTACTAAAAAAAAAGTCTCACTGGCACTAATTTTCAGCAGATAATTATTAATTAGTAATTAGCAAAAGCCAAAAATAATTATCAAAAATAAAAAGCGATAGAAAGTTACAGTTCAGCAAGAAAGGACGAGTAAATTATAATAAATATCTTCTGGAAATGAAGTTGGCTCATTCGGACTATCTGCTCGTTCCATTCACCTGAAATGATGCTAAACTGTGAATTTTGGATACTGTAAATCTTACACAGACAAAATGACTAACT